TCTCCTGCGTTTGTGTTTAAAATGGTAAAGTTTTCAAGGTGTGATTTGTTGGGAGTCTTAGATGAGTTCTCGAAACAGTACTTGGGACGCGCGCACTGGGAAGTGGGCATTTCAAATTTGGAGCTTTTTTTGGGGTGATGATGGTGACTGGACGTTAGTCTTGCAAGAGGTTTCCTTTCTTCTTTTCGCCCCCCTCCTTCTTTTTCTCTCCCCCCCCCCGCCCCCCACCTCGGTCACTGCAATTTTTCTCTCAGCCTCTCCTATGGGATGCACTTAGAACCGTGACTTAAGTCCACTACGTTTTATAGGTTTTGCTGAATGTCAGCATAGGTCATGTGGTGAAGAGATGCTTTGGAAGAGGAGCACTAAAAAGTTGACTACGTGTGTTTACACAGCCTTTTGGGTTTGACAGCGATAGAGGATGGTGTTTTCCCCCAGAAATTTACAGTTAATAATTGGAAGTAAACAAGTAGAGAGACTTTGATCATTTCCAGTTGCAATAAAAGGATTTAGTGGGCTTAGTGGTCACGGTCCAATATTTAAAAGAGAAGCATGTATTTAACCCCTTCTCTTAAAGTAGGCAAAATTCTGGGCATATTTCTCCAAATCCTACTGTAGGTGGGTGGTACCTAGAATGTTGTGAGTGGTTCTGCATATATTTCATAGGAACCTTAACCCCCAAGTTCTGGAAACCCATTGTGAGCTACAATAAAGACTTGAAAGTTAAGGATGCAAATCGTTGACAGTATATACTTCATGTGACTATGTTAGTATTTGAATTTTATTTTAAGTAGACTGGTCAGAATCCCTTAGAGATTGGGTTCATGAGCAGATTTATAAACTTTTAAGTATCTGAGTTCATTCCCATACATTTGCCCCAGAGTGCAAAGGTGTTTGAAATTACTTACCTGTGCAAATTACATGCATAGTAACAGTGTCTTTGAAGCCATATAAAAGTCATTGCGTGTGCATGTGGATACCCACACGTGCTTTTGTAAGAATATTGAGTATTTAATTGTACTTGATAAATCCATTCATACTCTACCACCAAGTTCCGGGATGGATGGGTGTTAAGTACCCAACTCGGCAAAGCTCTCCCTCAGAGTCAAGTTAACCCAAACTTTACCCATACTTCTGGGCTGTGAACCCCAACTGGGGTTTTGGAGTTCATTTGCATTTCTTAGATTGCAATAGTCAAGCTGATTGTTAACATAAGAGCTTGCTTCTGTTTTGCTTCATTTTGACATGGTGTTAGGCCTCCCAACTAAACTGACAGCCCCCACTGAGCACGGTACAAAGGCAAGTTTTAACTATTGAGTATTTTTACTACTGTGTGGTGCATTTTTTGCTTGCCTGCCTGGCAGTTTCTGTATTGGAACCTAGGAGGCTTTCATTTCTAAGGTGCAAGGGATTGTTTGTTTCCTAAACCTATCAAGCATGTCAAACATTTTGGAAGTCGTCATTACATTGCCAGTACTCTCAAGTGGTATACAAAGATAAAGAACTGATTTTTATGTAAGTAATGAAGTGATATTTACTGGCATTATAAATGGCGATAGGACTGTGGCCAAACCAGGTGATTGTGACTTACCTGTTAAAAGCCAACCAGCAGATTTCCCTCCACTGAGGTTTAACTGTTCGGTATGTTAGTATTTGTGTTTGGTGCTTTCTGTACAGCAGAGAAATAAAGGCATCTGTTTTTATTGAAGTCCCTTCTCAAACTTCATGTTCGGTGACATTAGTGTGATATGCTATCACAAGGAGACCTAAGTATCACCTTGTTATCTTTCTAGGAAAGGTCCTGTGGTTTCACAAGGAGAGTTTGCTTTAAGAATTAAGGTTTGTCTTTAATCAAGTACAATGGATTTAAATATTGCTACTCTTTTGGGACAGTGCTCCACCCACAACTCCTCTGCAACCCCAATTAGATTTATTTTAACAACATGTTGACAATATTCTTGTAAACAAGTAATCCAAAGATAACTGAGGAATCACACATGAAGTTTTCTGGTTGAAGTCACTGGTTGCTACTGTGATCACTTTCATAAAAGAGGCTTTGTTTTGTTTTTGCCTTTTTTTTTTTTTTTTTTTTTTTTTTTTTTAGTACTCTAAAGCTGTTAGTTTCAGCCATTGAGGTATGTTGATTGGTATTTCCTTCTTCTGCATTAAAATTCCCTAGGAATTAAAACCTCAGATGCATCTTCAAGTTTCACCAGTTCCTAGATTTCTATTCAGAGCAGTTTTGAGAACGTACTCCACACAGGTCTAGAAACGTGGTCCTATTTTAGGTTCTGAAATGAATGAAGTGGGGGTAAGAAATATATTTTTCAAGAGCACTACACGAAATAATTGACTTTCCTGATTGTCCGCTGGTATATTGTTGCTGACAATTCCCCACCGTGACTTTTCTGTAATATATGGTATCTTTTGGGAATATTATTTCATCGTGTGGGGATTTGTATGGAGGTTAGGCTGAGAAAATGACATTTGTTTTTCTCTCCTATCGTTGCTCTGGGTTGACAAGGTGTTGATTTAGCGTTGGGAATGGGCTGGTCACATGATTCTTTACATATTGTCACTACCGTACCGATTAAAGTAGTTTTTCTTGCCTCCAGCATAGTTCAAATAAAACACACGGCTTTGCCCCCTCCTTGTCTTCTTGTAGTACAGATTTCACTTTTTAGCTTTAGCAAAACTTTGTATCGCTAATCTAATCTGCAGGAGAACTTCATATTAGAGAAGAAAGCTTTAAAGAGGTTCAGTTCAATAAACATCTCTGCAATTTGAGCCCTGACGATTTTGGGCTAAGTGCACAGTTGGCAATTCTCAAATGATCCCTTCGTGAAATTTTTGACCTAGTGATTGCTAACAGGAGAGACCGAGTCAAGATCTGAAAGAAGTTCTTCGCACCGAGTCGACTTGGAAAGAGGCCCCCAAGAGTGTCCGAAATGGCCGGGAGTTCGGTTTGCATTTTTCCTCCACCACTCGCGCGCTCCGGGGCCCCCCAGGCTGCCCGCCGGGTTGCCGCGGGCGGGGATCCTGCTCCCCAGCGCCGCGGGCCTCGTGGGGCTGCCCCACCCCCGAGCCGCGCCGCCCGCACCCCACCCCGCCCCCGC